TCCTCCTCCTCCTCCTCCTCGCTCCTTCCTCCTCCTCCTTCCTCCTCCTCCTCCTCTCCTACCTCCCCCTCCTCCTCCTGATCCTCATCCTCAGCTCCTCCTCCTTCATCTCCTCCCCCTCCTCCTCCTCCCTCTCCTCCTGCTCCTCCTCCTCCCCTTTCTCCTCCTCCTCCTCTCCTCCTCTCTTGCTCCTCCCTTCCTCTCCCCTCCTCCTGCTTCTTTCTCTCTCCTCCTCCTCCTCCTCTTCCTCCTCCTCCATCCTCTCCTCCTCCTCTCCTGCTGCTCACCATCCTCCTCCTCCTCCTCCTCCTCCTGCTCCTCCTCCTCCTCCTCATCGTCATCCTCATCCTCATCCTCATCCTCATCCTCATCCTCATCCCCATTCATCATCATCATCATCATCATCATCATCATCATCATCATCATCATCATCATCATCATCATCACCATCAGCATCATCATTATCATCATCATGTTCAGCATCATTATCATCAACGTCATCATCATCATAATCATCATCATTAACATCATCATCGGCATCATCATCACCATCACCAACAGCATCATCATCGGAATCAACATCAGCATCAGCATCAGCAGCATCACCATCAACACCATCATCAGCATCATGATCACCATCAGCTGCATTACCACCAGCATCAGCTTCATCATCGTCGTCGGTCGTCATCATCATCAGCATCACCATCAGCATCATCAACATCAGCATCATGATCCGCATCAGCATCATCGTCCTCTTCATCATGATCATCGCCACCAGCAGCAATATCAGCATCATCATCTCCATCGTCATCATCATCATCATCATCATCATCATCATCATCATCATCATCAGCATCATCATCATCATCATCACCCACATCATCACCAACATCATCATCGTCGTCAGCATCATCACCATCGTCATCATCAGCATCATCAGCATCATCGTCAGCAGCACTATCGCCAGCATCATCATCATCATCACCATCACCATCACCATCATCAGCATCAGCAACATCATCATCATCATCAACATCGGCATCATCATCAACACCGTCATCGTCGTCATCATTCTCCTCCTGTTACTCCTCATCCTCCTCCTCCTTTCCCTTCTCCTCCTCCTCCTCTTCCTCCTTCTCCTATCCGCCTTCTTCTCCTCCTCCTCCTCCGCCTCCTCTTCCTCCTCCCCCTCCTCCTCCACCTCCTCCTCGTCCTCCCCCTCCTCCTCCCCCTCCTCCTCCATCTTCTCCTCCTCCTCCTCCTTCTTCTCCTGCCCCTCGTCCTCCTCCTCCTCCTCCTCCTTCATCATCATCATCATCATCAACATCATATCACTCATCATTCATCAAACATCAGCATCATAATCAGCATCATCCTTCTCCCCCCTCCTCCGCCTTCTCTCCTCATCCTCCTCCTCACTCTTCCTCCTCCCCCTACTCCTCCCCTCCTCCTCTCGCCTCCTCCTCCTCCCATCCTCAAGCAAAAACCTCAAGCCCACCCCGCCTCCTCCTCCGCCTCCTCCCCGCTTTCTCCTCCTCCTCCTTCGCCTCCTCCTTCCTCATTCTCCTCCTTCCTCTCCTTCTCCTCGTCCTCCTCCTCATCTTCCAATCTCATCCTCCGCCTCTCTCCTCCCTCCTCTGGTTCCTCCCCTCCCCCTCGTCGGCGTTCTTCGTCCTCCTCCTCCTCCTTTTTCCTCCTCCCCCTCCCATTTCCTCCTTCCCCTCCTCGTCGTCCCTCCCGCCTCCGCCTCCGCCTCCTACCTCCTCCCGGACTCCTCCTCCTCCTCCTCCTCCTCCTCCTCCTCCTCGTCTTCTCTCTCTCCTCCTCCTCCTCCTGCCTCCTCCTCCTCCCAAACTCCTCCTCCTCCTCCTCTCTCCTCCTCCTCCTCCTCCTCCTCCTCCTCCTCCTCCTCCTCCTCCTCCTCCTCCTCCTCCTCCTCTCTCCTCCTCCTCCTCCTCCTCCTCCTCCTCCTCCTCCCCTCCTCCTCGCTGTCGTCGCCTCCTCTCCTCCTCCTCCTCCTCCTCCTCGTCTTCTCTCCTCCTCCTCCTCCTTCTCTTTCTCCTCCTCCTCCTCTCCTCCTCCTCCTCCTCCTCCTCCTCCTCCTCCTCCTCTCCTCCTCCTCTCCTCCTACCCCTCCTCCTCCTCCTCCTCCCCTCCCCCTCTCTCCTTCTCCTTCTCCTTCTCCTCCTCGTCCCCCTCCTCCTCATCCTCCTTCTCCTCCTCCTCCTCCTCCTTATCCTCCGTCGCATCTTCCTCCTCATCCGCCTCCTTCTCCTCCTCCTTCATCGAGCTCCCTCGAGCTGGAATCGGCGATCCATCGCCGAAAGATCGGCGATAGTCCCCCGATAACGATGCCTCCTCCTCCTCTCCTCCTCCTCCTCCTCCTCCACCTCCTTCTCGCGCCTCTGCCTCTACTCCCCTTCTTCTTCCCTTCGCATCGTCAGTATTATCCTCCGCCTCCTCCTCCTCCTCAGCCTCCTCCTCCTCCGCCTCCTCTCTCCTTCTTCGCCTCCTCCTCCTCCGCCCTCTCCCCCCCTTCTTCCTCGCCCTCCCTCGAGACCGAAAGATCGGCGATAGTCCCGCGAGAGCGAATCCGAACAGGGGTGGGGGGGGCAGAGGCCCCCTTCGGCGGGGCGGGGGGGGGCTACAGGTGCCCATCGGCGACGAGTGGGCAATCGGGGGCCGATGCGGCCCCCCCTAGAGCCAATCCCCCCCCTCACGTTGCCCCCTGGCAGCTGGGTCGTGGCTCGCCCTCCAGCAGCGTCGGGACGATCCGGGCCCCCCCGCAGACGCCTCTCGGTGAGGCGCAGCTGCTGAAAGGGCACCCCGCGGCCGGAGACACGCGGCGAACCTAACACTCCGAACCTCGAATTTCTGATGTTAGGCCGGGCATGTCCTCCTACAGGTGGATGTTGGAAGACAACTATAAAACATAGGCAAACCATGTTACAAACAAGTCAAGAGAGCACGACAAATCGTCACCTGACTATTCTTTCAGCTAGTCTTGAACACTCCTCCTGTAGAGGAACATGCCGGCAACGAGGAGAAATGAAACGGAAAAAAAGTACGGCGAGAAAATGAAGGGCGTCAAGAGAAGAAGCAAAAACAGAAAGAACTAATAAAAAAAGAAAAAAGGAGGAGAGATACCGGAAAAGAGAATGAACGAAAGAAAAGAAAAAAAAAAAAAAACTGATCGAACGCCGCCCCTGATACACAGGGGCGAAGGGGTCGGGGTCGCTGATGGTCCCCTGGCCACAGGTGCACCCAGCTTTCCGCTCCCTCTTGGGTGCGTCTGGACCCTCTTGGGTGCGTTCTGGGGGCCCTCTGGGCCTCGTGATGGGGTGCTGTGAGGGCGTGGAGCCTCCTTGGACATCCTGGAGGCACTTAGGAGGAGGAGGAGGAGGAGGAAGGAGGAGGAGGAGGAGGAGTAGAGGAGGAGGAGGAGGAGGAGGAGGAGGAGGAGGAGGTTGGGCTGGGGCACTTCCAGCAGCACCCGAAGGGGGGGCAGGCCGCTGGGGCTCGGGCCCCCCAGATCTTCATCCGCGGCGCCGGAGGCCGGCCATGGCGGGCCCTCCGCGGGAGCGCGCCCGCGCACGAGCGCGGCGGCCAGCCGTGCGCTCCAGAAGGGGGCGCGCGCGGGACGCCGCGGAAGCGGAGGACCCTCCGCGCGGTCTCGCGTCCAGGGTCGTGCTCCGAAGGGCCTCGGAGGGGACCGGAGGGCCTCGGAGGGACCGGAGGGGGGACCGGAGGGCCACCCTTTCCTTCCTGCGCTCCGAGCGGCCATCTCTGAGATCTGGGCGTTGCATGTGTTGCACACCGGGCCTTTTCGCTGGTTTTCGGGCCCCAGGACCCTCACAGATCGATCCGGCTCGAAGCATGGCGCAGAAAGATGGGATCCGGAGCTCTGGTCGTGATTTTCACGATGTTGCATTTGTTTTGCAACGTCGGATCTCGGGGATGTAGACAAGTCTCCCAAGGCGAGCAGGGGGAACATACATAGAAAGACCCACCGTGGACAGGACTCCACGGGCGAGCAGGTGGCACATCACGCTGAAGCGGATTTCCATCTGGCGTGACAAATGGTTGGGCTTGGCGTGGTGTCGCACAAAAGCGAAGCGTGCGCGCACGTGGAAAAAACGAGGAGGACATGCAATGCAAGAGGAAGTCAACCCAAAGCCCGGCCGGCAACAGGGTGATGGGCGCGCGTTGATGAGTTCAGCACGTGCCACAACCTTGAAGCATGACACGTCGGAACTGACGCGGCAACGGTAGCGCCGTACACACAATCAGAGACACGCACACTCACGCACGCACGCGCACGCGCACGCGCACTCGCACGCGCACGCGCACGCGCACGCACACGCGCACGCGCAAGCGCACATGCACACGCACACGCGCACGCGCACGCGCAAGCGCACGCGCACGCGCACGCGCACGCACACGCACACGCACACGCACACGCACACGCACACGCACACGCACACGCACACGCACACGCACACACACACACACACTCGCACACGCACACGCACAGGCAGACGCAGACGCAGACGCAGACGCAGACGCAGACGCAGACGCAGACGCAGACGCAGACGCACACGCACACGCACACGCACACGCACACGCACACGCACACGCACACGCACACGCACACGCACACGCACACGCACACGCACACGCACACGCACGACACAGACACAGACACAGACACAGACACACGCAACATCACAGCACGAGTAACACGCACGACGCACACGCAACACGCACACGCACACGCACACGCACACGCACACGCACACGCACACGCACACGCACGCGCACGCGCACGCGCACACGCACACGCACACGCACACGCACACTCACACGCACACGCACACTCACACGCACACGCACACGCACACGCACACACACCCACACACACTCACACACACACACGCACACACAAAACACAAGACACAAGACACACACACACACACATTCACCCACACACACACACTTTT